AAAATAATATATTTTATATTATTCAATATATATATCAATATATATATATATATATATATATATATATACAGTATATATAATTTTTTTTTACTGTTACTTTTCAGCTGTAAATTTAATTCCAGTGCTTTATTGACTAAGAAAAGTGATTTAGGCTCCAGTAAAAGGTTTTTATTAAGAGTGATATACTGTTCTCATCACAGGTAGGCTGGTCTCTGCTGTGTCGTCTGATGGAGATTTGTCCCACCACTCTGGACAGTCTGGCCAACCCAGATGAATATGAGTTTACTGAGGTGCACAAGTAAGTCTCATTGAGTTCTTTTTATGAGCTTGTATGGGCTCCTGTTTATATAGTATAGTACCTTGTACTATTGTATATTGTATAGTATATACTGTATACTGGTTAAGATTAAAAGTGTTTGACTAGGAGGATTGATGCATACAGTAAATAATATATACTATTGTTATTATAAATATTATAGAAATCCATGTGAAATGCCAATAGTAAAGATGTAGGCACAACACAATGCAAGGATAATGGCAGATAGGGCAGCGAAGGGTGGATCTGAGTTTGACAGGTGCTAGTAAACTTTGGAATGGAAAATATAAACGCATACAGTATAAAGAAATATAAAGATGTCAGTGGAAGAAAGGCATACTGTATATAAAGAAAAAGTGGAAAGTAAAATAGCTAGTAAGGCTTAGAGGAGTCATTCAATAAAATATCTTTCATCCGCAACTGAATTTAGCTGTGTTTGGCACCGCAAATAGGGCAGCGAAGGGTGGATCTGAGTTTGACAGGTGCTAGTGCTTTATACTGTATAAAGAAATATAAAGATGTCAGTGGAAGAAAGGCATACTGTATATAAAGAAAAAGTGGAAAGTAAAATAGCTAGTAAGGCTTAGAGGAGTCATTCAATAAAATATCTTTCATCCGCAACTGAATTTAGCTGTGTTTGGCACCGCAAATAGTTTAGTAGAAATAATTTATAATTGAACAGGGAACCATGTGTGGTGTGGTGATATGTGACTGAAAAAATCATACAGTATTTGTAGATCTGGTTAGAGCTTAAGAAAACTGCAGTGTGGTGTATTTATGAATGCACTGGGGCATCCCAGCCAAAAGTATATTGTGGTAAATGAAGTCTCAAAGTTGAATGAATGCGTGAACCTAATGTTCTGCTTGAAAACAATGTTATGTAACTTAAATATTTCTGAGGAGGAAGAATGTAGAGCTGATCATATCACCTAGAGCAGGGGTGGGCAAACTTGGCCCTTCCAGGTCGCTTTCCTTCAGAGTTTAGCTCCAACTCTAATCAAACACACCTGAACCAGCTAATCATTGTCTTCAAGACTACTAGAAAGCTACAGGCAGGTGAGTTTTATCAGGGTTGGATCAAATCTCTGCAGGAAAGTGGCCTGGAAGGGCCAAGTTTGCCCATCACTGACCTAAATGTACAAGGAAACAAGGGCTCAGGACCGAACCCTGTGGCATGCCATAGTATTAAATGGCAGGGGTTTTCAATTTAAAGAGGTCCTGTTTCCTTCCTTCCCAGCAGAGGTCTGAACAATACTTTTTGGAATATTTATACATTTCCACAGTTGCAGTACTTTGTTAAAAAAAAAGGAAAAACAAGCATTCTAAATCTTTAATTATCGTCTTTTTTATTTTAGTTAGGTTATAACGTCATGTTGTCTGAGATTCTGCAACTGATTTTTATTTGTCCATGTTCAGCAGGTTTATGCAAGTGTTTGCATGTTTGTTCACAGGCAGATTCTTAAGGTGCTTTCAATGTATCATAAAGATTCCAAGATGATGAAGGTGGGCCTGAGAGCTCTGGCTCTCCTACTGAAGTCAGGTAAGACTTGCTTTTACATAATGTTTATATGTACTGATTATACAATCATTATGGTGCATTGGGTCCGAAAGCATTTTTCCAATTCATTTAATCTCTTTAGGGATTAAAAAAAAAAACGTTCCTTCATTAAAATTTGAACCAAACAATAAACTACTCGTTGCAATAAGCACTGCAAATGACATAATCAATTAAGAAATGACAGTACATTATACAAATATGGAGATTGAGAAAACATCTCATACATGCAGTTCTTCTTATTATGAATAGTCCACATACCCCTTACGCAAACATAATCATGATGATGGTTAGATATAGGCATGTGTCATTTCACTTGCTTTCCTGAAGTGAGAATAATGTTTGGTGTTTGTGGATCAGATGCGATTGTGATGCAGGTTCTGGACGAGGAAGAGGTGGACGTGTTTTTCTTGGTTCTGGAGGCCATGAGGTCATTTCATGACAAAGAAGAGGTTCAGCTACAGGGATGTGCTGCTTTACAACTACTTCTGCAAACAGGTAACACTGCTTTGTTACAAATCCGTTTGAGTATGTACAAAAGTAATATAGGGCCCTATGATTTCCACAGTGAGGAAAACATGGACGAATTTCACAGTTTTGTCTACTAGTTTGGCTTAACTTGAAGAAATTAGAAAATAAATATATTACTGTTGGACAGCAGAATTTACTTCTCAATGTCATAATAACATTGTTAATTTCTGTCTCATTAACCTGCTTGATTGTCAGTTTCTGATGCTCATCTGGTGGAGTTCATTGAGAACAAGGACCATGAGGTGGTGTTGGATGCGCTCAGGCGGTTCATGGACAGTGAGAATGTGGTACTGCAAGCTCTGAGGGTCCTCATACCGCTGGCTGCTCCAGGTATAACACACCTACTGCCAACTAGATTCAACTATATTATTAAACTATATTATTACAAGCACTATTAAATAAGCCTCTCTTTCTTGTGTCTAGCCAGCAATATTGAGATTCTGATGTCCAAACCCATTAAATGCGACAGTCTGCTGTGTCAGGCCATGGACATGTGGCTCGACTCGGAGGCCATACAGGAGGCTGGATGCTGTCTGTTACAGAAATGTACTTCAGGTGAGCCCAGGTCAAAGGTCATGATGAAATGATGCTGTTCTCATAACTTTTAGAAAGTGATTTATTTTTGAGTCATGTTATGTTTGTTTGCCATTTAACAGAGAGTTACTATAATATACTGGTGCTGAATGGTGTCCATAAGGTGGTGGTGAAAGCATGTGTCGCTTATCCTAAGAATGCCACAGTGCAGACCACTGGCCTTTCCTGCCTGAGCGCGCTCGGTGAGTCAAAATGAACATGATAGTACTCTATGTGTTTAGAACCTGGCTCTCCACTGGATCCCTGAGAGCCCATATTTAAGGTGGATCAATAGGGTGCTTTTTTAAAAAAAAAATTTTTTTATGATTGTTATTTGTCAGACATACATTTTGCATTTTTGGACATGACTGACAGTGTTACCTGGTTATTTTAAGTGACCAGTCTACGTCCATTTTGACGCCCTCATTTACATATGAAATTTTAATCATGCGACAAACAAACCCAAAAAGGCCTTCTGCTGATGTTGGCAATGTTTTGCTTGAAAAAATCAGAGTGGCTGGGCAAAAGTGCTCGTTCTGTAGAGTAAACTTGAGGTAATTTAGGATAGAGTGACTAAAAAAAAAAAACTTTTTGAAAGAAGTCCCTTGTGTTCACCAAGGCTGCATTCGTTTGGTCCTTTATGCAAATAAAAATACAGTAAAACAGTAATATTGTGAAATATTATTACAATTTAAAATAACTGTTCTATTTCAACAGTTTTTAAAATGTCATTTATTCCTGTGATCAAAAATTCAGGCTGATCATAAATTCAGCATCATTACTCCAGTCTTCAGTGTCACATGATCCTTCAGAAATCATTCTAATATGCTGATTTGCTGCTCAAGAAACATTTCTGATTATTAAGAAATAATATTTTTTGTGGTACACTACCATTCAAAAGTTTGGGGTAAGATTAAAAAAGAAAGAAAGAAGAAAATAATAGTTTTATTTAGTAAGGATGCATCAAATTGATCAAAAGGCACAGTAAAGAAAAAAATCTCTTAATCAGTGCTGTTCTTATAAACTTTCTATTCATCAAAAAATCCTAACAGTTTCCTCAAAAATATTGATCAGCAAAGACTGTTTTCTTGATTTATTGATAATAAAAATAACTATTATTAATAACTGAGCACCAATAATAATTGATAATAATTTATCAGCATATCAGAATGATTTCTGAAGGATCATGTGACACTGAAGACTGGAGTGATGATGCTGAAAATTCAGCTTTGGTCACAGGAATAAATTACATTTTAAAATATATTACAATAGAAATTATTTTAAATTATGTTTTAAATATATTTAAAATATAAGTTATTAGTTATTTTAAATTATAATATTATTTAACATTTTACAGTTCTTTCATCATCAAATAAATGGCTTGATGAGAATAAGAGATTTTTTTTCCCCAAAACTTTTATTTTCTTCACTCTATCATAAATAGCTTATTTCAAAAAACAAAAAACGAGATACCTTTCATATTTCACCCCCAGCCCCCACCCCCCCGAACCTGATTTGTGGCCGCTATGTCGTTTTTTTATTTTATTATTATTATTATTATTTTGCCTGCGTGTCATGTTCTGGGCTCTGTATTAATGTTTTTTTTGTCTCTCAGCGGAGTGTATTGTACAGAATGAAGGGCTGGACAGAGAGTGCAACGAGGAGGACGAGGCGAAACAGAAAGATCTGGTAAAGAAAGAAGCCACCCAAGAGGAGGAAATGCTTATCTGGAGAGAGGCCTGTTATGCCGCTTTAGAGAGACATGCTGACAATGCCGCAGTGCAGGTGACACAGGACATGTTTAAACCTGCAATACGGAAAAGATCTTATCATCTCATCTCATTCTTTTGCTTTTGCTATAGTGAATATGTAACTTTCTCTCTCTTGGTCCAATCAGGAAGCTGCATGTTGGGCTTTAAACAGCTTGCTGCTTCATTACAACTCCTTCAACCATGTGGAACTGGAAGGAAGGTTAGCATTCCTTCATATTCTGTGCTATGTAGCATATTTTGCCCGAACGTCCTCTTATGATTAGAGATAGAGAACGATATTATTGAAATAAATAAATGACCTTAGTTATGATTGGCTAACCTCTGCATACTGGTGTAGTTAATACTGTCATCATCAGGCAGGCCATGTTGCTGAATACTGAATATGTGATGATATTTAAATGTAGGTGGTCATATGTTAATGAGCTCAGACTGTGATGTCGTAGCTATTTAGATTAATGTTGCTGAATACTGAATGTGATGATATTTAAATGTAGGTGGTCATATGTTAATGAGCTCAGACTATGATGTAGTAGCTATTTAGATTTGGTTTGTTTCTGGCCCACAGGCCTCCCCTTCATTCTCTCATCATGGCTGCCATGCTTTTGCATTCATCCAGTGCGGAGGTTTTCCAAGCTGCTTCCTGTACACTACGCACACTAATACAGCGCCACAGTAAGCTCAGCAGTTCACTTCTCTCCGGTCATAGATACATGCAACGAGACTGTGTTTTAAATGAAATAGTGTGAGTATGAGTTACACAAAACAATGAAAAGTCTTTTACAGAGATGTGTGGGTCCTTGGAAAAAAAGAAGTGTGCACTTGTAGAGTAAATATAAAAAGTATGTTTTTAAAAATCTCTACTTGCAGATTTTTGTTTTTTAACACACAATAAGTAGACTTAAGAGCACTTTGTAATGTAGCTACATCTTAAATACTTGTTTTATTAATCTTTTGCCATGCTTTAAAGAGGTAGCCTACACTTATTTTGATGTGTTGACTAACGTACAATTCTTGATTGTAATTTTAACTGTAGTTTATTATTTGATGTTAGTTAATACATTTTAAATGTGCAAAATAGCATATTCATCATTAAAATCTGTGTAAATGCATTTATAAAGTTCATGTTAAGTTCAGCATTTACTAATACAAAAGTTGTATCTGTTAGCATTAGTTAATGCAAAGTGAACTAACATGAACACAAACTCTTTTATTAACTAACATTACCAAAGATTAATAAATGCAGTTAGTTCAAGTTAGATCATGCATTGACTAATGTTAACAAATGAGACCTTATTGTAAAATGTTACTGATTTTAGTTTACCATAGTCAGTGCATTCTGCAATACACTTCAACCATATTTCATAAGACAATAAATATGCATTTAAGTCTTACTTAATTGGGTCAAAAAAAGCTCTCTAAAATTCAGCTAATTGCATTTAAAGGGTGGTTCACTGTTTTTTTTTCTAGGCTTGATTGTGTTTATGGGGTGCAGTCTAGGCCTGGGCGATAAAACGGTATCGATATTTATCGACGGTACACCCTCTTCGATAACGATATATAAAAAATGTTTGATATAGCGCACGATATAGGCACGTGCTATGAGTGACGCAGACCGCACACACAAACACGAACACATGCTGAATTGAGTGCTGTGCCTGCCTGTGATGAGGAGATTGTGAAATAAAAAAAAAGAATATTAGTCGAATTTAAAATAAACATTTGCATTTGAATGCAAAAATAGTACATTCAAATGTTAGGTGTGAGTCTGGGAGCGTCATTAGTGGAGCGCGAGATGTGGTGATGATGATGTAAGTGACGTTGTTGCATTTTAATGTTTTATAAGTCTAGCCCACAAGACGCGCAGTTGCTGCGTTATTCATTCAAAATATTAGAGAAATATAGTAACTCAATGCGTAGAAGATCTTGATTAGGTTAAAACCGAAACCAAGCCATTCACACAGAACGCATATTCAGCGCATTTTTTAGACGGACAAAATATGACTGCTGCACTCGCGTCTCACACAAGAGATTAATAGAAAGCCATGCAAAGTTAAAACAGTTTAAACTTTTAGAAAACAAGTTGCAAATACTACTGAAGCCTTATTGAATCACGCCAGTGAAACTGGCCAATGGCGTTCAAGCGCGCGAAATATGAGGGGCTCCCACTCTATATAAAGCAGCGCTTGTACGTCATCTATTCACAATCTTTTTCTTCAGCCAACCTTTTACGAGAAGCAAGAAGCCTATCAATAAGACTACTCGCCGTGATCTACACGCTGCAGCGGACATGCCTTCTCTTCCCCTGCTGTGTTCCGGTGAGCTTCGGAAACAAGGATGACTCGCGATTGCCTCTCCTGCGCAGAGCCAATCGAACTCTCTGATGGCCACAAGTCGTGCGTCTTCTGCCTGGGTCGCGCCCACGCAGAGGCGGCGCTTGGGGGGTCGGACTGCCCCCACTGCGGAGATATGAGCCTCCGGACTCTCAAGCTCCGTGTGGCCATCGTCCAAGGCGATGAACTCGCCCAACTAGTCCTGCCGCGCTCTTCCTCTGCAGCCTCTTTCGAGTCAAGGAGGAAAGTGCCGCGAGCTTCTGATGCGGATCTGTCAAGGTCAGGTGACGAGCCCGCGCCGGCTCAGTGCCCACTCTAGCGACGTGGGGAACCTCCATCATAGTGATGTCGAGCTACTTAGCGTCCTGTCCAAGGCAGTTGATGAGCTCGGTTTGGAGTGGGCGCCTCCTGCCGAGCCGGCCAGAAGCCGTCTGGACGAGTGGTACCTCCAGTCAGATCGTGGCCGAAAGGACACCCCGCGGAGGCCCGGCCCCTTTTTCCCCGAGGTGCACGATGAGATAGCGAAGTCGTGGGACGCGCCGCTCACCAGTCCAGTGCACAACCCGTGATCCTCCCTCCTGTCTTCTGTGGACGGCGCTGACCAAGTGGGGTATGTTAAACTTCCCCCCGTGGAAGAAGCCGTTGCTGCCCATCTCTGTCCTTCAGCCGCGGCGAACTGGAGAGTGAGAAACAACGCGTCTCTCCCCTCTAAATCTTGTCGCGTCACTGCAAACTTCGCCAGCAAGGCTTTCTCCGCGGCGGGCCAAGCAGCTTCAGCACTGCACGTGATGGCGATACTCCAGGTGTATCAGGCCAAGCTGCTCAAGTCTCTGGATGAGGACGGGCCGGACCCTGAAGTGTTCAAAGAGCTCCGACGCGCCACGGATCAGGCCCTCAGAGCGACGGTGGTGACAGCTCGAACGATCGGCCGCAACATGGGGAATCTTGTGGTGCTAGATCGTCACCTGTGGCTTACTCTGACAGAGTTAAAGGACTTTAAGAAAACGGCCCTTCTGGACGCTCCCATGAATCCCTCAGGTCTCTTCGGAGCAGTGGTAGAGACGTTCACGTGCAGAAACAATCGAAGGCTATTGACCACTTCCTGCCAAAGCGCGCCGGCGCGAACTCTCCTGCGCGTTCCCGCTCCTCCTCAGCGCAGCGCGCGGGAAGACCGCACGCCTCTTCTGCTGCTGTTCAGCGAGAACATGAGCCGACGGTGAGGCCAAGACAGCCGTGGCTGAAGCGCCGTCAGGGCTCCAAGAGCCAGAGGCCCCGCCCTGACAGAGGCGGTAGGCCACCGGCTCCGGAATCAAAGCCGCGTTCCTGACGCTGTCTCTCGGAGGAGGAAAGCTGCACCCAGCGCCGAAGACGAGCCACTGAAGAAGTCTGCTCGCTCCGCTGTGTGTTCACCACGCCCCCCTGCCTGTTGCGGGCGGCGAGAGCAATTGTCATGTTTGTGTTTTGACTGTTCCACTATGCAGTGCAATAAAGTAAAAAAACATACAAAATTCACCTCAATATCAAAGCAATTCTCCTCCTCTCACTCCCCTCTCCCCCATCACTCACTCTCACACTCGTGTGGTATTAAACTCCCCGCCCCCGAACGGCGAGTTATCCCACACGGTGTGCAGTCCGCCTTGGCCGCTGTCACAGTTCACAGAAGCGTGGCAGGCACTGCCAGGGGTATCAGAGTGGGTTATGAAATCAATAAAGAACGGCTACACGCTTCAGTTCTTCCGCAGGCCGCCCCGTTTCAACGATGTGTTAATGTCCACTGTACGGGAGCGGAATGCCTCAGTTCTGCAAGAGGAAATACACAACCTCCTCGCAAAACGCGCTGTAGAGACAGTGCCCCTAGCAGACCTCGAGTGTGGCTTCTACAGTCGCTATTTTCTGGTACCAAATAGGGATGGGCGTATCGATACAAAGTATCGATATATCGATACTGACGCGAGTATCGAAAGTATCGATACTCAAACAAAAATATCGATACTAAGGTGCATTTTATTTACCAGTGGTTTTGTTTGCATTTCATATTTGCAAAGATCTAAGGCCATACAGCGTTGTCGAAAATGACGGATTCTGTTACATGTTGAATGTGCTGGAGCCTCGTTATTCTATTCCTAGTCGTAAACAGATAAGCGAAGAGATTATACCAAGACTGTACCATGAAGTGAAGGGAAACATTTCTCTGTCCCTTCAGTCAGCGGACAGAGTGGCCCTCACGTGCGATGGCTGGACGTCAAGGAGTCAAGACACCTATGTCACAATCACCTGCCACTATTTACGTGATGACTGGGTTCTCATTTCAAATGTGTTGCAGACCAGAGCTATGCAGGCTAGTCACACAGGGGCAAATATATGTGCATTGCTTTCAGAGGCGTTGGAAGAGTGGGGGCTCACTAAGAAAGACCCGGTCATTGTGACCGACAACGCTACTAACATGGTACGTGCCATGGAGATAAAGATTTGAAATAAATCTGGCATCGCAAGCTGCGCTGAAACTTCCGGCCATCTCTCGGTTGCTAGGTCGAGTTAGGCGCATAGTGACATTCTTTCACAGGAGCGCTAACGCTAACAAAGTTTTCAAAGAAAAACAAATGCTACTGAACTTGCCCTGTCGCAAACTTAAAATTGACGTGGTGACCAGGTGGAACAGCGCGCTGGACATGCTCCCTGTTTACACTGTGTTTTCCTTTACCCCGCCGTGACATTCTGACTTGTCCAATTTTCAGCATCAGTTTTTCATCTTGCATCAAAATTCTGTCTATTCATTGTATGCATTTGAAATATAGAGTTGGGTTTTGTTTTATTGTACCCAAGTGTACCTAAAATAAAAAGTGTTTAATATACAGGTTTGTGGCTCTTAATTTCCTTTTATTAATTAACCATTTGTAATCTTATGTTCACTGTTCATTTTTTATAAATATAGGATTTGTATTAAATCTATATTCATTCATATAGTCAAATCGAATCGAGAATCGAAATCGAATATCGAACCGAGAATCGAAATCGAATATCGAATTGAATCGAGAATCGAATATCGAATCGAAAATCAAAATCTAATATCGAATCGAAAATCGAAATCGAATCGAATTGAGAGCTTGAAAATCGAAATCGAATCGAATTGGAACATCTGAATCGATACCCAGCCCTACTCTGAAAGCAGAGTGGAATGCGCATCCTGAACTATCTCGACGATTGGCTAGTCTTAGCCCAATCAGAGAGCGCGCTGCTCACCGGCAAGCTCATACTCATAGCTCATCTTCAGAGCTTAGGGCTGACTGTGAATATGCAAAAGAGCATGCTAGTACCGAGCCAGAACATCTCCTTGTTAGGAGT